GGCGAGTGCGGTCCCACTGAGGTGGATGATGGAGGAGAAGGCGGTGGAGGAGGATGGCGTGATCGACTGTCGAACGCGCGGAGAGGTCCAGGAGGACAAGGAGCAGAAGGGAGCCCTGGTCACAGATAGAGAGGATGTCGTTTGTGACTTTCACAAGAGAGTCTCTGTACTGTGGGCGGAAACCGGACTGGAGGGGTTCGAAGGGGAATGGGAGGAAGGTGTGCGCGGAGTTGGTTGCAACAACGTGTTCTAGAACTTTTGAGAGGAAGGGCAGGTTAGAAATAGGGCGGTAATGGCTGGGGTTTGAGGGATCTAGGGAGGGTTTTTTCAGGAGGGGGTGGTGACAGCAGTTTTGAGGGGGCAGGGATGATCCGAGGAGAGGGACTGGTTGATAATGTCAGCCAGTAGTGGGCAGAGGAGGGGGAGCTGTGTGACCCAGTAAGTTGGTGGGGAGGGGTCGAGGCAGCAGGTGGTGGGTTTCATGGAGGTGATGGTGGGTGAGAGGGAGGAGGGAGAGATGGGGAGGAAAGAGTGAGAAAGGGGGTGGTGGTAGGAGCAGATGATGAGGAAGGTGAGGGGACAGAGAGGGTATGGTGGTGGGTGACAAGGGGCAGGTGGATGAGGCTGCCTGGCGGATGTTCAGTATTTTAGTTGAAAAGAAGTCCTTGACCTCCTCGCACTTGGCATTCGATACGAAGATTGAGGAGGCCTGAGGGGGGCACGGAGGAGGTAGTGGGTGGTGGAAAAAAGGATTTGGGAAGTGCAGGATTAACAAATGTGATGTTATTATCAGAAGCATATCTAATTATTTTCAGTTGACTGGGAAAACTCTTTTAAGGCCGGCACACGTTACTCTAAACTACAATTAATCATAATTATTGTTAAAGCAGGACAGGACAATGCTTTCCTAAATGATTGACTGAAGTGGTATAGCATTGCTGCTTCTTTCACACATTGTTAGATGTTTGACATGGAGAAAGCATTTTCCATACTATTTTTCTATTTGGTGGGTGTTAGGGTGAGGGTTGCCTGGGTTGTGAATGATGATTGTGTGTATTGTAGCATGAGTCAGCTTGGCTCAGTTGGTAGCACTTTCATCTCCGCGTCAGAAGGTTATGGGTTCAAGCCGCATGTTTAGCTGACACTCCAATGCAGTGCTGAGGGTGAGCTGCGTTTTTGGAGGTTACATTCTTAGGGTCTGGTGTTGAAACAGGGGTCCTGTCTGCTTGTTCATTTGATGTGAAAAAAAGATCCCATGGCACTAGTCAAAAAGAAAGAAGGCAGTTTCTTCCAGGCCAACAATTCTCCAGATAAAATTGGCTACCTCGTGTATTGCACTATACCAAATGCAAGGATTATTATTTTCACTTCTGGAGGACATTTCAAAGCACTTGATGTACTGTAAAGTGGAGTGTCTATGTTTTTGTAGGAAAATTCTAACAGGAATGCCTAGAACAAAAACATCAATTGAGGGGGCCAGTTCCCTTTGATGCCATCTAATGCACCATTGAGTCATACATTGAAGTGGGTGACAGTGGACAACCTTGTTTTACCTCGTTTCAAAAGGGACAGTCTTGGTGTTTACCATCAACCCTTACACAGATCTTTGTTCTGGAATGCAAATTCTGAATAACATTCAATGTGCATTACTTTAAGGATATTGCAAATAAATTGGAAAAGGATACTGTACTCGTGTTAGGCCATCTGATTTTTCTGAGAACTGAAATTCCACAGCTGGCATAATTTCTTGCCCAACTTGTCTCCTGAAATTACATTTCCATTCATGTAGCTATGAAATATAAGAGTTATTAGGCCTGAAAGCTCTGCCTTAAATCAACAGAATGAAGGTGGGGGAAGTGCTGATCAATGGGAATGAATGGAATGTGGCATAGCCTGTGAATACACATAGAATAATCCTTTATTTTTCCTTCAAGCTTAGTGACGAAGCTAGGAAAGGATGGAAGAAAAATAAATGCACAGCAAAACTGCTTTGGCTGTGCAGGTTATTACTTTTTCATTGCCTGTCGTGAAAATGATGTAAACAAAAGCCTTGTAATTTTATAAATTGGTGATATGGATCGTGCTTAATTTAAGAGCCTCGGTGCTGCAGAATTTCTACAATTAACTGGTTAATGGTTTAATAAATGAGACGTGTCGAGCTATACGATCAAGCAGTAAGAGTCCAATGGACTTTTCTGTCAGATCAAAAGAAATAACCCCGTAATGTGATGCATCTTAATTTCTATTCTACTACAGCATTTTATAAAAGTACATGGAAACAATGCAACTATCTATTTTCTGTCTTTGGTGAGTTGCACAAAGCTACATATCAGTGTAGATGCTACCTGCACAATTGTAATACATTTGGTCATACTGTATATGGCAGCAGATGCTCAGAAATACTTGTCAAAACATATTTATTGCCTCTGTCTGTGGGGACTGAACAGGGCATTATTGTTTAAAATGTTTTTTTTTCCAGCAACAATCCAGTTATATACAAGTCTATACATTTCTATGATCTTATAAAGGGGCGAAATAACCTTTTTGCTTTATAAATTGTAAGATGCAAATATTGTATAGCTATTTCAAAATGTAATTAAATATTACAGAGACAGAATCATTCAGTAATAATAATAATAATCCTTGCATTTGATATAGCGCTTTTCACGTCTTCTAGAGTCCCAAAGCGCTTCACAGAATATGTGTAAATGAATTGACTGTATTTGTGGGCAAGCAGCAGCCAATTGCGCACTGCAATGTCCCACAACAGTCGTAGATTGAATGACCAATTTATTATTGATTATTTGGTTTTGCGATGGGATTCCTACTTACTGTAGGTCTGTGTGGAGTAAGGAAACTTGCCCAAGGTTTCGCCCTACCCAGGAATTCGACTCGAGGTCCTCTCACTTGCAGAGGCGAGTCGCCTAACCACTGAGCTACAGAACTGTACTAATTGTACAGGATAAAATCATAAGTTCATTAAAGCCTATGATTTGTAACAGGTGTAGGAAAATATCAGCAGAAAGATTAACTGAGCATGGCAGAAAAATTGCTCTATTTCAAAACTCTTAAGGATGAAACGTGAGGAAGGCTAAGTTTTTAGTTTCTAATTAACTGCCATGTTATGCAAATTAATGCTATGCAATATATAACTGAGTGTTTCTCATTACTTCAATTTTTGTAAGATATTTTACTTCACTTACAATGTCTGGATGTAATTTCTATGATCAAAACTGTACTAATTAGCCCGGAGATGCTGGGGAAAATTCATCTATACTGTACATCTGTTCACTGATGGGAGCAGGTTTGCTAAATTGATGATGATATTGCCAACATTGCAATTCTAAATCTAGCAAGCAATATGTTAGTTTCACAAAGTACATATGCAAAAAAAAATCCAACTGGTGCAGCTCTCCTGCTAAAGCTGCCAAGCAGCCATTTTAAATGTGTATGGGCTAAGCAGAATGTAATGGTGTTCCTGTCCACTTGCAGCCTGGTTCATTGACAACCAAAAAAACAACAAATTTAATTTATGTACTGCCTGTTATGTTGGGAGGACATCCCAAGACACGGATAGAAGGATAGTGTCAGAGGATTTGTTCAACTGAGGTCCCGTCTGCTTGTTCACGTGTTTGAAAACAGAAGTCCTGGGCAACATCCCCAACATTAAATTGGTCATTTCACTTCATGGCTGTTCGTGGACATTGCAGCGTGCAAATTGGCTGCTGCATTTGCCCACAAAACATCATTACTTTACACAGTAAATCCTGTGAAACGCTTTGGTGTACTCCTGACGTAAAGGAACTTATCAAATGTAAATTATTATTATAATGGGATTGGTCCAATTAATGCAGATAATCAGCTTGCTACTATCATTTTTTTCACGCTAAATGTAATAGAAATTGGGAATGCACTGTCCGGGTACCTATAGCTGAATTATTTGAGAGTGATGAATAGTGTATGGGCTACCTGGTGAGCAAAAATATTAGGGGAGAAGGCATAGAAACATGGGGAGGAGACTGCTCTCTGCAGTCTTATTCACAATCAGGTGTGAAAGAACTCATTTGTTTACTGTGAACACACCATTTTTGCTGTGTCAAATTTTGCTCGCACCTGCCAATTAAATGGGTGGTCTGTTTCAAAGGGCTGTGCATATTGCAAAGTGCACAAGTCCACGTAGAAAGAGCTCAATTGACAGGCTTGACACAATGGGTAAGAGCACTGACACATGCATTTTGAATAGATCCTGAGTTGAAACCACCTTCAGGAACCTAGAACTCCTTTGTATATACTGTAGTTTCTTTTTTCATGTTTTCATTATGATCAATATTGTTCAGTATGTTTTCTTTTTTAATTAATCAATAAAACACTTACTATTATAAGTGGAAAATGTGTGATTATTGATGTTTTTGTGTCGTGCGGAAGAGACTGCAATAACGTATCCTGGTTTCCTGTCGTCTGAATGTATTATTTGCAACTGTGGGAAATCAGCGCATGGAGCACGGGTTCGAGAGGAACAACCTTGATTGTGGCTGGACTTTGTAATCCTCCCCCCCCCCCTTCAAAGTACAGAGGGTATTTGATGAGCCGAAACTAAACTGTCCACAAAATTGTGACATCTTAGCAGCAAATACGTCATAATCCTAAAATTAGCTTTAGCTCCGTGGAATTGATTATTTGATCCTAAAAATTCCCGATTTTAAGCCACATAAAACCGATTAATTTCAGGAAAGTGAATCTCAAGGTACACAGGTAATTGTTTAGCTCCACAACCTTGTCATTCAGCTCTTTTAGAGAGACAGACAGTGACTTATTTCATATTCCGTCTGTGGATGTGTATTTTTGGTATTTCACAGTAGGTTTTTTGCGGACTCCTCCTTGGCCACTCCCAAAGGGTGCAGCTTGATGAATTGAGCAGCATTCGTGCAGCTGAATACTTTTGAAATTGTATTAGGGGATTTAGACAGCTGTTTGATGCTCAACAAAGGATGCCTGTTAGACATAAATCATCGCTTCTGTGCTGTTAACAAGATTTTTAATCAGCAAACTTGTAAATTAATTCTTTGGAGATGCAGGATGATCATGAGCAAATGGATGTTGTTGTCTTTGTGACAAATTGATTAATTAAAAAAGGCAATGTCCAATTTGCATAATATTAAGAAAAAATGTTTTTTCTGATTTACTTTATGGAAACATCAGGAAGGCTGTTTGATGTTCATCATTATTACCATAAAATTGCAGATTGTATTTATAGTAGTTTGCAATTCTGGAAAAATCCAAAGTATGGCTAAAGATGATAAGAGACTGATGAAAAGCTTAGTGCAGTGAAGTTCATAGTGCAGGAAGTGCTTTTTGTCTGATAACCCTTTGGCATAGTTTTACACCAAGCTTCAGCAGGTATATGACGCACAAGTACTACCAATTCCATAAAAAATTGTTTCATTATAATGGAACTATTTTATATATTCATAGCTATTTGTTATGATTTGACAAATGGAGGATAATTTATCGTTTTTAATATCCCTTGCATTTGATGTATGCCTCATGTCTTGAGTACATCTCAAAGTACTTCACGGGATTCACTGCGCCTTTAAGAGGACTACAGAAAGATGGTGTAAAATGCAGAACTTTTAAGTTATGAAGAAATTATTCAATTTTCTGGTTCGATTAATTAGTGTGGCGTTTTGCCAACTTTTGTGACGCAAGCCTCAAATTATTTATAAATATATTCATGTTTCATTTTAAATCTATTGCAATTAATATTAGATTATTTTCCTCTTTGGTTGGGAACAAAGTGCACAACCCACGTGTGTGCTCAGTATTGGTTTAGTTAGCAAATTCAACACATTATGATATCTGGTTTATTTTGAGGGGCAGTAAATTGGATTTTCTGTATGGGATTTGAGTAAACGATTTAAAAAAAATTGAGGCTTAAAGTAATTTAAAATATATTCTGGTATAAAATAGTTTACTGAAACTTTGGCAGCAATCCCTTTTAATTTTGATGCATTAAGGTCCATGAACTAAAGAATGATGCTTTTAAAGGCAACTTACAATGAAGCATGGAAAGAAGCATTTAGTGTAAAATAAAACTTGTTTTTGGTAGTTAACACATTTACTAATTCATAAACAAAACAATAATCCCAACACATTTCTACTGTCTTTTTATTGTGGCCAGGTTTAGTGGATTGCTGCCATTAACCACGCAGTTCTGAAAGCAAAATGTCCATCAAAGCTGCATAGATCCAGTTCAGTGAGCACAGCTGCATGTCTGAGCTCGTCTAATGCTTCTGACACAATATGTGGGACTCAGATGTTTGGAAGAAGCTCTGAAAAGTGTTAAGTGGTATTTTCTTATGCAGTGCGCCAATTATCTGTCAGTTGACAGTGCCTCGATCTTTGCTTGAATTAGCAAGATGCATTTTAATGGAATGCAGTTTCAAAACGCCGCTTGTTGTATCCTAATTTATTTTAAGCTGCTGTAAAATTCAAAATGTCGTTATAAATGTTCTATGTGTGTATGAGTAAACTTCGAAACATCTACAGTGGAGTTTAAAATACAACACCTGCAAACCACATTTGTTGCATTTATTGTGATTTCTGGTCTGGAAAAATTGAAAAGCAAATCCAAAGTTGGCGGAAACCCAAACTAGACATTGCAGCTGACACAGCAAATCCAGTTTGAGCATCAAATTTTAGATCCCAATAGTTTAATAAATTAGCAAAAAGTATTCACGGGGGTGTTTTAAGTGTAGAATCTTTTCATGTGATCTTTTTGTATAGATATTCATATGTAGTAGTTTCCTAATTTTTAGCCTTTAAAGTGCCTTGTGCTGCAGGAGAACACATTTTCGGTTTCCCAAGCCTTTTACTTTCCGGGTAACGTGTGCTTATGAGTGGAAAAGTGGCAACCAATTTTATTCTGTGGACACGAGAGCTTTGTGATGCGACTAATCCTGCATCTGAATGAAAATGCTATGATTTTCTAACAGCTGTACTTGGCAGGCAATTGAGTTTTAGTTCTACTACTTTGGATATAGAAATCCTATGCTGAGAAGCATATTTTGTTTGGTTAGCTGATGCATGTGGAAACCCATCACGATGCTTAAGAGTATCAACATTAGGCAGAGTTCCAGTAAGTGCACCACCTGCACAGGGAAGTTTCCCTATCGGGAATGGAATGTGCACTCTCTCCTGAGAGGAATGCACCCGACTTTGCTAATTCCAGGTAGTATTAAGCACAGGTTGCCGAGAGCCAAGGCTTAGGGTCCCCAGAGTGAGTTGGAGTACTGCTGGTGTTCAACCAGCTAAAACCGCACAGCTTATCATTAACTGTTGGCAAGCTTCCCACTACTTGTCAAGCTAAGATCACCGAACCAGTTAGGTCTTTGGCATGCAAGGTTAACAGGAGCTGACTAGGAAGTATCGCAGGCTTCATCCCAAGTCCCTCGCTAGGGTGATAGCAGGTATCACAATCTCCCTATGAGCTTCCTGGTAAGCAGCACAGCACTATTCAGAGTTGCCCTCCAGTTGCATGCTGTTATTATACCACCTTAAAACATACAAGTTAAATTCAAGGTTTATTCTTGCTGGACATAATCCAATTTAGCATTTAATATGAGTTTATTACCAACTAAATGGGCTGAAATCAGTGCTATATTTCAAATATCCTGTTGAAAAAGATCATTATTTAAGAATAATAATTAGTATATTAGGACTCTGATTTTTAAGGAAGAGCATAAAGAACTATTCGTGGGAAAACTAACAAATAATGTTCTTGTTCTTTTTTATATTACTGGTCTGCATTTCTGCTGCTCTAATGAAAAAAAATAGCAACTTGCCTCCAGGCATCTGGCTGGATCCTCTCCACCACTGTTCACTTCAAATACCTTAATCCTCAGTGACAAAGGGGTTTTCTCATTCCACGCTTTCAAGCAACTTCAGATGTCACTGCTACCTAAACATCTGTAGCATAACAGCAAACAATTCTGGGACCAAAGTTGTCTGCCCTGGTGTGTTTCTTATTTCGATTCCTCTGTTTGAAAAAGTATTATCATATTACAGTATATCAATAGAACAAAACCCTTCAGACAAATCTGTCAATTGTTTGTTTTCATATGGATAATCGGTGGGTTTCAAACTGCTTCACCTGCTCCACATCCATTCTTATCAATTCCTTTCATAACATTACTGAGCTCAGGAGCAAATTATTCTGCACGTTTAGGTTTGTGGAATATGTGGTTTGAGAATGCTGAATGCCACGGCAACTTTTGAGAAAACTTCCTGCTCTTTTTGAGCGGGTCCATGGGATCTTTAACGTCCACCTGAACAGACAGATGAGATGTCAATTTCACATCTTATCCGAGGCACGGCTGGCTCCTCCAGCAATGCAGTGCACCCGAGGACTTCATTGGGAGTGTCACTCTAGATAATGAGTTCAAAGTTCAGACATAGTGCCTGAACCCCCAACTCTGTGACTTGTGATGCAAGACTGCTGCCAACTGAGCCATGCTGCCATGGTGGTATAATTACAGTACGGAAGAAAGAATGTGGGGAAGAAAGCAGAAGATAATCTGCAAATGGAAAGATCCATTTTTTAAAAAAAAATACAATATGAGGGGAAATGCGTTTCGATTTTATTGCGATAAAACTAAATCTATGTTCAGTTACTGTCTTTGCCATCCCCTGTGACAGTTGTTGTTTTAGTGCTGCTACTGTAAAATGACACTTTTTATAGACTATTAAATTGACGCCATTAGCATGTGGTAATTATTTGATTTTGTTATCAGCGGTGGTGATGAACCTAAACTTGCAGATCCATCGTGTGTATTCAAGTTAAATTAGCAGAGAATATTAGGCAAGCTTTTTAGTAAACTAATCAGAGCAAGGCAACAGATGGTGCTTGGGTCCCAGTTGACCACACTTGCTACAGGAAATTCAAGATATTACGTGTGCAATATTGCTTTTGTGAAATAATGGACGTCTCAAGGGAACCTTAGCAATCACGTCATTCCAATAGATCAGCAATAAAAGTGAAGAATATTTTTTTCGTTGTTTCCTGATGCTTTCTGCAAAATTCTTCTGTATGACTTGCGTGTCATGTACTTCTAAAAACTAGCTGAATCATACACTAAAGAAGTAGTGTTGGCACTATTGTTCAGGGTTTTACAATATTAACGCACAGAAAAAGAAATAAATATGTGGTTATTATATGATTGCATATGCTACAAGTTAATACATGGCTTACTGCTAGTAGGTGTGTGGAATGGATGAACTGGATAAATTATTTCAGCAGCACACGGATATCACCTCTTGGGTCATTGTATATACTGTGGCAGTAAAGAGTAGCAGTATGGTCTCCTCACATTTCAGTCCACACTATCTCTCTGCCTTGAAGTTGTCTATCCTGAAAGCCCCACAAGGTGGACCATGACCAGCACAGGCACAATGGGCCAAATGGCCTCCTTCTGTGCTGCAATACTCTATGATAAGAGCCACCTGCCTGATGATTAAAATGAAGTTGTGGTTCATATTTTCCAGAATTGAACCTTTCGTGGATTGTGCACACAAAATTGCAAGGGTGGTAGCAAGGCACAAACCAGATATTGCTAACCCTTTGTAGAATGTCAGCTTGCTCCAGGAAAAAAAAACCTTTTTTTTTTACCTTTTCTATTCCGTGCTGTTAGTAAGTTGTATACTTTACATACCAACTGTGTAAAATGTAATGAGGAATTAAGATTATTTGTGTTTCTTATTTTAAAAAAGATCCATTTTGTCTTTTCTTGCAGTTGACAGCAAAGTGTTGCCTACCAGTTCAGACAGATTGCAAAGCATCTATACATCCCCAGCCTATCTTCCAGTGAGCTACAAACTTTCAAATGTACAGCTTGCCTTTTTCCTAAAGGAGGCTAAAACGAATCCACAGTGGAATAGTACCAGGTCATTGCAGCGCTTAGAACACTTTGTTGTATTTCAGACAAAAGAACTTCCAGTAGTCAATGCCTCTTTAGGCCCTTTCTCGGTGGATCGGACCCTCCCCAAAGATATACTTCAGCCAACTAGCACATTGGAAATGCTAGACCGATTCACTATGAATTGGAAGGTCAGAGCCTTTATAATTCAACAGAGGGTGCCCTCCAATCAGCCTCTTGTCCAGGTGCTATTCTATGTGGCAGGCCGTGATTGGGATGATTTTGACGTTGTGGACAAACTGCCGTGTGTTAGACTTCATGCCTTTCGTGATGATGTCCGGGAGATTAAAAGCTCCTGCAAGCTGAGTGGGATCTTAGCCATGTGCCTGGTGCAAGTTAACCTGCCCCTTGCCTGGTTTAGTTCCTCCACCTCAACTCTCGGAAGAAAGAAGTCCGTGGACAACATGGATACAGTTAATGAAAATCTTCAAGCTGAACTCTACTATACCTTGCATTCTCCAGATGGAAATGGAGAATGCGATGATGCAACATCTCGTAAAGTGAACAATATCCGACAGGAAGGATCTCACCAACAACCACTGCTACGAATAGGAAGTATCAATTTGTACCAACCTCCACATGCTCAGTTAATGCAGGAGCACAGGCTTGACAATAATGTGTTCATTCGTTTACCAGAAGGACCATTGAAACCTGGTGAGATCCTCAGTATATCTGTGTTTCTGGCACCAAATTCAACAGTGGAGCAATTCACTCTGAGGTATGATGTGTTTAATTACTTGTGATTTAAAGAAGTTTTAATGTTTAATCTGGAATTTCTGTCAACTAATGTACTCGTGTCAAAGCCTGCAGAATACTTTTGTTTATTTTTCCATCTCTGTCCTGGGTGTACATATGCAATGATCAATACGAGTAGGCTCCTTGTCTTATATACTCAAATGAATAGAATACTAGCTATTGAATGCAAAAAGTGGAAGGAATAAAAATAACGAATGGCTGGTGATGTGTAACTGGATCCATTGTTTTCGTTAGAGAGTAGATGGGAACTCATTAATGTATATTGGCCCCAATCCAAATTAGCTGTATGTGTGCATCCCCAGTTTATTAAGTATTAAATGGGATACTTCAGGGTCTGTTCGTTGTTTACATTAATAGTCTGGATTCACAGACCCAGTTTAAGTTTGTTACATTGCGAGATGATACCAAATTGGGGTTAACTGTTATAGAGGAGGCAGCACAGGTCTTACAGAGAGCTTGAACACACACTGCCTGACGATAGAACGGCAAATGATGGTGAATTTATCTACCCATCCCTTTTGCTTACACTCTGCAGGAAAATCCATTTGTTTTATCAAATTATGTGTATGCAGCTTTGCTTTAGCAGATCTGCAAGGGTAAATATCAGCAATTGAATATTCCCAGTCACCTATCTCCACTGAAGTTGCTGTATTACATGTATGAATGACTCAACGGAAATGACACCGACATGTCAGTTAATATCAATGTTTCTGCAGCAATCCTGTTGTACAACTAAGTATCCATAGCAAATGCCATCAGAGTTCTACCATCAAATCCCTCCAGGCTCTTCTGAAGTAAAAAGATTAGGTGAACAAAACACCGATTGAGTGTTAGTAAGATTTTTACTGCTTTGAACATTTGTGAGACATGAACTTGCTTTAATTTAGTAACACCAAGAGAGGAATGAAGTGAAATGAGAATGAAATGAAGTATATGAAAATTGTTGCTGGGAGAAAAAGATAATTGAGGAAGTTTTGAAAGTATTCCCTAAATGTATTTCCCCAAAAATGAGAATCAAAGGCATCAGGGCTTTTAAAAAATAGTTGATTTGCACAGGGATACACTTGAGCACAAATAAAGGAAAGGATTCCTCCAACACTAATAATAACACTTGGAGGTGAATTTTTACAGAGAGCAAATCAATCAATAGTTGGTCAATTGATATCCGACAAGTGCAGTTGTGAACTCTTATTGGGTGGATAGCAGAACTCGCTGCAAACTCCCAAGTGAGAAGCACAGCTCAGCATGAAATGTATGAGCATTATCCTCCTACTCGCGGTTTGGACATACATTCCTATCCATTGAGTAATGATTCCACCAGCTGGAGGGAGCTTCAGCAGCAGCTGCTTACCTGTCTGCATACTAATCAAGGTGTTTTCAAAACCTTCAATATATGAACGAGTGTCACGAACCTGGAATCATGGTAATGTGTTTCAAGTCTCAGTGCTTCCTCATCAGCTATTCGACATACATCTGCCTTCTGCGCAATGGGAGAACCTTTACAGGACAGCTGTAGCAATGTCTGTAAAGCAAGTTTTTTATATATATATATATATATGTGTGTGTGTGTGTGTATATATATTTAATTAAAACCATAATACTCAAGAAGATCAATGTGATGGCTTACAAAAGACCCCTAGATTCCCAACACATCTAGGAAATCTCCCTGACCCAACTGCTGCATACATTTTCAGCTTGTGCAGAACGATACAGCGAAGATACAAATTGTATTATGACATTTTATAATGTTCACTCAAAGTGCTTCAAACAACAACAACAAGATTTCATTTATAGAGCGCCTTTCACGTCGGGAGGACGTCCCCAAGGCGCTGGACAGTTGGGTCAGGACCCGAGCATTGGGGGAAATGGTCAGGGTGAGGGGAGGGAAAGGAGGGAGCGAGGAGGGGGTAGAGAGTCGAGAGGGGAGCTGAAGGCTGAAGGTCAAAGAGAAAGGTCTTGAGACCGGCCTTGAAGGAGGAAAGGGAGGGGGCGGCGAAGGCACTGGGGATAGAGTTCCAGAGCCTCGGGGCTGAGAGGCTGAAGGCCCGGCCACCGATGGTTGGGGCGGGGGATGTGGAGCAGACCGGAGCCAGAGGAACGGAGGGTACGGGCAGGTAGGTATGGGGATAGTAGGTCGGAGAGGTAGGAGGAGCGAGGGCCGTGAATGGCCTTGTAGATGAGGATGAGGATCTTGAATTCAAAGATGATTACAATGTTAATTTAAGTGTAGTGATTTCTTGTAGGATAATGTGACGGTCCTTTGAGCCAGCAAAGTACCACAACTGACCATGAGAAAGATGATGATGATAATAATAATAAAAATAATAATAATGCATTTGATATAGCACCTTATTACGTCTTTGAAACCTCCAAAGTTCTGCACAGAATACCGTAAAGTGAATTGACTGGGCAAAACACATGCAGCCAATTGCGCACAGCAGTCAGTGTCCCACAAACGGTCGTGGATTGAGTGACCAATTTTTTTTGAAGGAATTATTAACCCTGGAAAAGCAATCGGATAAATAATCAATTAATCTGGGATTTCTGGCCAGGAACCGGGGACAGAGTCCCTTTTCCTGTTGAATAGTGTCATGGAATGTTTTAACGTTCACCTGATCACGCATATGGGATCTTGATTTTAAAGTCTGAACCAAACCATTGCACCTCCAACAATACAGCACAACCCACTGCTGTACCTTCGTATAATGATAGATTATAAGATCAAATTCTGCTGTCGGTCTTGAGCCCACAACCTTTTCACATGGAGGTGCGAGTTCTACCAACTGAGTGAAACTCGCACAATAATGCTACTCGAACATCCGGAAGGGATTTAACATTGTAGTGTAATCCTAAGTTTCAAAAGTAAATAATAAAAAAAAACCTTACCTGTATTTGCCTTTTTTTGCCTGTCCTGTATTCTGTTCCCCATTAGCATTTTAGTCATTTGTAAGTATAATTTTAGTTATACTTACAATACTTACAATACTTTAGTTATACTTACTTATACTTCCCCTACCTACCGCCCGTACCCTCCGTTCCTCTGGCTCCGGTCTGCTCCACCCCCCGCCCCAGCACCATCGGTGGCCGGGCCTTCAGCCTCTCAGCCCCGAGGCTCTGGAACTCTATCCCCCAGTGCCTTCGCCGCCCCTCCCTCTCCTCCTTCAAGGCCGGTCTCAAAACCTTTCTCTTTGACCAGCCTTCAGCTCCCTCTCGACTCTCTACCCCCTCCTCGCTCCCTCCTTCCCTCCCCTCACCCTGCATTCCTCTCACTCCCTCCTTCCCTGACCATACCCTGCTCTGGTCCTGACCCAACTGTCCAGCGCCTTGGGGACGTCCTCCGACGTGAAAGGCGCTTTATAAATGGAATCTTGTTGTTGTTGTTGTTGTAGTTTTCTTACGCCTAACTTCTCTGCGGTTTTCCTATTGGCTTTTTTTTTCTCCTTCAAATTTCCAGAGCTTTTCTTTATGCTCTCGGTGCCACTGGAGTCCATTTTGTGAAACTGCTTTCCTTATTAAAATTGGCCCAAGCCGCAACAAGCCATTAAGACGCCTAATATTAAAAAGCATTACCGAATAATTTAGGAAGAGTAATCCGCATTGCAAACATTCTGTACTAATTCTGGCTAGAGATTTTAGATTGCTGTGTTGTTTGTATGCCCTAATAAATGTGCTGATTATACCAATTAACCTTCAATTAGTTTAATTTGTAAATGTTTTCCAAATGTCCCTTTGAGACATTTGAGTGATTAAAAATGCATTTTTAAGGTTTGGGAGGGTATCAGAAGAATAATTATGAAACTATAGAAATGAAACTTGAAGGCCCATTGTATCGGAGTGATTCAATATCAAAGACTGATTACAGAGTACAATAACACAGGGTTTCAGATGGATGGTCAATATCAACAGAATGAAGCTTTAGTAGTTCATAAATCACCTGAAGCCTGGAATTAGATTGAAAATTATTTGAAATCATTTCTTCATGATTCATTTATAATTAAAACACTCTTTCAGCGTTTGAAATGATGTATTCTGTTATCCTTCAAGCCAGTGTTCTGTATTTTATTCTTGGTGATGTTCATTCCAGAAAAATAATGATTATGACATAATTACTACAAGTTTATCCAGAACATGGTAACAATTTGTTTGCCAGGAACTTCCCAAGTCTCCTATTTTTCACTTGTAGATGCTGATTGATTGACCTGCTGTGAATTTCTAGTATTTCTGTTTTTGGAAGGAAACTGTATATGCAATGAAATGTGTTTTACACCTGACTGTTCAGAGCTTTGGGACATCCTCCCGACGTGAAAGGCGCTCTATAAATGTAATTTTGTTGTTGCTTTTATATAATTAGTGGGAGATATCAATTGATTACTTAAGTCCTCCATTGAGTGTCTGTCCATGCTTCTCGGTCATTTCAATGTCAGCCAAAGGATGGGGAAATTATGTTTGAAAGGTATATCCAGCTGTCACTTAAGTTTACAGGATTAACTGGCTCCAGAATAATGAAAAAAATTCAGCCTTCATTCTGGTTCATTAAAAAATTTGTATGAGCAGTGACCTGTGTGACCTTGATAAGTTGCACACTTTTTAACCCTGGACCAATCATTGCTCGTTCAAAAGAAAAACTTCGGATTTAAGGCCGAATCATTAAAAATGAATTAAATAAATATTGAAAAAGAAACGTGTAACATGATGTAGGGAAAAGGTCAGGGAATGGGTCAAACTGATAGTTCTTTTCGAGAGCCCACAAAACGCAATGAGCAGAATATCTCCTGTGCTGTAAAATTCTGTTCAATGGGAATCGCGGTCTTGTAGTCTGTTGTGTTGTTTAATAATCTCTAAACTTTGATGTAATGACTGGTTTGCTGCAGAAAAAAGAACAGAACTGGAATAGAAGCCCAAATTTGATATTGCGCTTTTGAAGTTTTGATCATTATCCCGAGCAGTCAATTTTCAGACAGA